CAAGTGATGCATGATGCAATTGCTCACCACCTGCTGACCGATGCCCAGCCAGTCCCCCGAGCAGCGGCCCCCCCAGCCAGCTTTCCCCAGTTTATGTACTGAGCATGACATCACATGGTATGGAATATCCCTCTGGCCAGTTTGGGTCAGCTGTCCTGGCTGTGCCCCCTCCCAGCTTCTTGTGCACCTCCAGCCTTCTCAGTCGGTAGAGCATGGGAAGCTGAAAAGTCCCTGACTAGTGTAAGCACTGCTCAGCAACAACTAAAACATTGGTGGGTTATCAACTTTGTTCTCATCCTAAATCCAAAACACAGCGCTGTACCAGCTACTAGGAAGGAAATTAACTCTATCCCTGCCAAAACCAGGACAGTAGATTAAGATGGCGTGAGATGAAAGAGACAGGTCTGTTACCAACCATCTTATGATGAAATTGAAAAAACCCAGCAAATTAGGAGGACAGAAGTTATGTGAAAAGCTTTCCACCGGGTCAGGACATAACTATTCCTCATGGTATCATGTTAAATCCCACCAGAGCCTGGACTACACCTCTGTCTACAGGAAACAAGGATAGTGAATCTGAATATGGATGAACACATAAGATTTTGAAGTATTATATTTTTAAAGTTATGTTAAGAATAAGTAGCACTTTTGACACTACAAATGTCAAGTCAGGGTATTCAGAACAATAGAATCATGGAAGCTGGAGGGGACCGACATCTAGTCCACCTGTGGGATCTAGTCCAACTCCTGCACAAAGCAGGATCCTCTACAATAACCATAGTAATAGTTAGCAAATAGTTTTAATTTAGGAAATTCCATGCAGGTGTTTTCCTGGTTTCCTGTGGTCTGCAGAAGCAGAACATAACTCAAGTAACAAAAAAATTTGTCAGCCCTGTTAATCTTACAGTTTCTCTTTTTCCTCTCACTTTAATTGTACACATACCTAAGTCTTGTAGACACTCTTCCCATTCCTGAAATCAGGTAACTCGCATTGTGCTCAACAAATAAAATCTTAAAGATGAGTAGGCTTGCATAGAAAGAGTGAATCAGAGTCAGTGAAATACTCCATCAAGAGAAAAAAGGATGCCTTGAAGATCAGAGTTACTCAGAGGAAGAAAGTAATTGTCCACAGTGGAAAAAAAAAGTGAAATGTGAATAATAATCAGACTCCCATGTTGAGATACCTGCTACTGAATGCAGTAGGCTTTCGTTTTGCAGAGTTTGAGCAAGGCTTACAGGAGAATGTGAGGATATTGTTGCTTTACATTGTCTTTACACCTCCTATGACCTTAATCTAGAAGTTTAGGTGCGACACTTCTTCCTAGAAGTTGTTCATTGTTCATCTTGTCTCCAAATCAGATACTCATAACTCCCAGTCTTCTTTCTACTTTTGGCAATCTTACATGAATCTTTACACAAGTTCACAAATAGACCTGGCTTAGAGTGAACCAGAGAGGCAGTATTGATTTTCTTTGCACAGTAGTCATCCAGAGACTGGGGCTTACTGATTTAGAAGACTGGAGAGGGGTCTCAGATGACAGCTTAGAGGGTCAGGACATAACATTAGTATATTAAGAGCATTATAAATTCAGAATATGGGAACAGCAGAACGTAAGAACATCAGCTAGTGCCAGATGGTCTGCTTGGTAACCACAACTTTTTCTTCCTTTACATACAGTACTCCACCTATTCCTCCTTCCCTTTTGACTGCCTTCAAGTCCAGTAGCACCAGGATCCTAAAAGCAAAGGCTACTACCTACCCCAGAGCCCAGTGGTGTATCTTCCAAGGGGCTACATGCAATCTTTCCACAATTAGGCATTTTTCTTGAATGTACTTTACCTCCCACCTATTCCAAACTTCCTCCAACCTGTAGCAAATGCAGCCAAAAAAAATCTCCTGCATTTATTTGTTACCATCAAAATATTCTTGAGTGCATTCAGTGCAACGTTATCAAGAAAAGTAATATCATCTCCTATTGATCTCCCACAAGAACATCAAAAGTAGAATAGGCTATAAAGAGATGAAGCCGGAAGAGACTTCATACTCACAGAAGTTTGTCGGATACAAGCCAAGGTAATTCATGCAATGTGCCAGAAACAAGCTTGTGGCCTCTACAGAGGCCTCATTTCAGAATCCTTTAGGATAGCAAGGCCAAAGCTCACAGTAAAATGAATCTATTTCACCCTACAAACTGCACTGGTGTCTAATACTAACATAACTGATCTCATCTACCAAATAAAGTACCTGGAAAACAATTCAAATATTGCGTGACAGCAGCGTTACATGGATGTAAGTGACAAGAATACTATTCTTTATTTACTCAGGAGAATATTTATTGCAAGAAGGTGAAGTACAAAGCCCATGCAGTAGCACATGATAATCCCTTTCTAGAGGAAGGTCTGAAGCAACTGTAACATGCATTGTTTGTTTAACAAATCCCAAAGGTAAAGATAGCAACTTCATTTTAAAGGGAGAAGAGACATTCCTTGTCTGGTAAACAAACTGTCAACAGTCCTGCATTGATAACAGGCACAAACAAGCAAACTGTCCTGTTCTTCAGGGGAGCAACTCTATCTAGTCCCTCTTAGACTCACAGAACCTAACTGGTGGCTTACTTATACCTGCTTGTAATTACAAGTTCAAGTCATTGCCCCCCTTTTAGCCTGAGGCCACAAAGTACGGAGAGATGTGGTAGGAAATAGGGATTTTCCCTTGATGTAACTTGTGTCTGTTGCCTTTTACCCTTTTACTGCATCCTTCCGAGAAAAGTTTGTATGCAGCATCTCTATAACCCTCCCAGAAATTCACTGAGGACAGCTACTAAATGAAAAAATACAATACTGAGGGGGCTGAATGTCAAAAAACAGCATGCTAGGTATGAAAACAAATATGGTACTGATAACATCTCTTCCTTCCTTTTTAGCCTTGTTCAGGGGGGTTAAGAACAGTTAGTAAATACCTCTACCTTACAAAGGTCAGTGTTTACCTGATAGCACAGAGATAAATGTTTCCTGCAGTACAGCCTATGCAGACACATTTATGTCACTGCTGATATTCAGAGGATCCGTAGCCTCCTGTGGTTAAAGCCACCCTGACGCAGACTGTCTGTCCTTGCATGCACATCTGTCTGCTGGCAGCTTTCAGTCTCCTTGAGTCTTTGGTATCACAGTCCACTACGAAACTGTAGATAAGTGAGCAAGTTCTCAGTTACCATAATCATATGCAGCCCTGTACAAATCATTCATGAGCTATTTATAAGTAATCAAAGTTGTATGCATTATTCAATAAAACAAAATCTTTGAAACTTTCCAGGAAAAAAACCAATAAACAAGTAGAAATTAGGATGCCCAGGGACCAGATTAAGTACTTAAACCTCTAAATCATCAACCCAGTCAGATAAATAGAGGGTAACAATTAATTCTTCATCTTGCTTTGCATCCATGGTTTCTTTTTGCAGTAGAACTCAAGTATATACAAAGAATGCAAACCTCCCTCAAACACATTGTAATGTTCACATTGTCTTTACAAACATCAGCTCTAACTTAAATCAATCTTTACACATGCAGAATCACTTAAAATTATGGAGGCATTCCTGAAATATGGCAGTGTGCTTCCAAATAATCTGACTTGGAAAAATTAAACCAAATTAAGTAAGTTTTTGCTGCTTCAAAACCCTTTCACATGAAAATCACTTTTAAACATTTTCACAGCACATGTGTCTAAACAAATCAGATTCCTCTAACATCGTATTCTAGTTTGAAGAGCAACTTGTGACTTGCAAATAGCTTGTTACATATGGAACCTTAATACTGGTATATCTTAAAGTACTTTTTTCTAATATTCCACTGAGCCCATCAAATCAATTGTAAAGTATGAAATTTCAGAACACAGGCATGTAGCAGGTGAATTTTGTCAAGATAAAACTGCAGTATTTGCAGCCCATTTGATAAAACCAAGAAGTACTTCTGATTTGAAAGTACCAATCAGAAAGGGACAAGAATTCAAAGTTATAGAGGGGATTTTTTTTTTTTTTGGTAACACAGACACACAAAACAAACCCAAAGTAATTCAGTCTCATCCGGTTTAACCTCAACCACGAGACACTGCTGTCTGTTTTCTTTCTCAAAAGACTCGCGTCACCATGCACTGAAAAAAAGGGAACTTCCACAGTTTGTGGTGAGGATACATGATAAACAGCTCTGTTCACACCAACTAGCAGGGCTGGCTGTGTCAATAAAAGGAGGTAGCAGAGTCAGTGAACTGACATTTGGTGCTTGGAGGATTATCGCTGCAAAAGTCACTTCACATTAAAGTTAAGTAAAATGCCAGGATTTTTTTTTCCCCACAACAACATGACTGAATTAAATGGAAAAGAAGACTGCAAGCTTGCAGAAGGCAAAATCCATAAAAAGAAGCAAAAGGCTTTGTAAGTATATACATCTTACTATAAACTCTAATGTATTAGAAGTGAAAATAACACTAGAATCTTGGAGATTAAGAATTAGCACCGTGTTTCTCGCTAAATGACTGCAAAGCCTGCTCAAAGCCCAGGACTACAGCATCATTAAAAATGTCTTGAGCTGATGCCTACCAATGAATTGATTCCCTTAAGTAATCAGGAGTAGATTTTGGATACACTGGGAGCCTCTTAGTCTTCTGAAAAAAGTTACTTGGATATGTAACTTCCCAGACTTCAGTCATAGGATGGAGCTATCAGCCTCTGTTTAAACAAATTGAAATGCAACTGCAATTTTAATGGATTACAAAAATGTCTGTTCATTGGTTTCAGTGGTGCAGATCTCAAAAATTATTTGAAGTGCATGGTACCACATATCGAATCTGGGATCAAGACTTCTAACTCCAGAAATGTCATGTAAGTACTGAGACACATTAAGTTATAACAAAATATAAGTATAGCTAGATTACTATATAGTAGACTATGTTATTAATTTCTAAACTACTTCTAGAACAAGTATTGTAATAATGCCTAAAATTTCCAAAATACAAGAGGTGAACATTACGAAGCAGAAGCTATTCATGGAGTTAGGAGCTGTTTCTTAGTGATGTCTATATGTTTGCATCAAACAGTGAGGGAGAAGACACCTCAGTTAATCTATTTTCTTCAGAGGGACATTGTATCCATTCTCTAAAGAATTACAAGAAATTATGCTTCACAGTTAAGTGGAGAGCAGGGGTATTACCATTCTTATTTCAGGAATATAGAAACAAAAGTACAGATACAAAATTATTTGGTCATAGTTACAGTAAAAGCTAATGTGTCTGGGAACAGAATTCAGGATAACATCATAGTTCCTTGTTTTTCCATCTCTGATTATTTTTCTCAGTGTGGGCTTGCCTCCAGTGTCTCAGATTATGAGAAAGCCGTAAGTTTAATAAATACCTGGTACATATTCCTAGAATAGGATAATTAATTATAAAATTTGTCTTCTTTAAACATGCAAATAAAATCACATGGTTTCTTGCCTAAAGTCTTCTCTTTTTCTTGTCAACTTAGGCTTTCTGCAGAGGAAGTATTACAGTGGTCCCAGTCTTTGGAAAAGCTCTTGGCCAGCCAAAGTAAGTCTATTACTTTAGTATGACTTCGCTTTTATTCTGAGGACAAAATTTTATCTAATCTCGCCAAATACACAAAGCTGTAGCATTCTACAAACACTACCAGAGAATGGCCAGTTGCATTTCAGTTATTTACAGCTTCAGTGTAACATGGCTACTGTATTCAGCTTTGCTTCCAAGTTTGTTTTTTTTCCTTCCATTTCCTACTCCCGGTATAGCAAATAAACCCCAAATAGCTCAATTCAGTGCTTTTTGATCAGTCTTCTGTCCTTGCGTAACACATCAGTTTAATTTGGAATTTTCTCTCCACTTGTACCCTAAGACAATCCGTTTAGGGAGGACTAGAATCTATTGATGTATTTTAGTGCCCAGGGTCTAGATCTAAAAACACTGAACACCCAACTAAAAACTCCCAACACCCTTAATATTAGAGTATCTGTAGTATGTTGAAGAAGGGAAGAACAGTGTATTTTGGCAAGATTTTATAACAGAGATTTCCATACAACTCCTGCTATTTATTTTATCCTCCCTGGTCACAAATCTCACGCTATAAATGATGATGTATTTGTGTTGGCTTTAGGTGGTCAAGGTGTCTTTCGGGAGTTTCTGAAGTCAGAGTTCAGCGAGGAAAACATCGAGTTCTGGTTGGCTTGTGAGGATTATAAGAAAACCAAATCTGATCACTTACACGGCAAAGCAGAGAGGATTTATGAGGAGTTTGTTCAATCAGATGCTATTAAACAGGTATGTACAAAGTTAATCTGTCTAGTGTTTCAGTACAAGGATTCTGGAAAATCAGAAGATAGAAGTGTAGCTTCACTGAGGTGCTCACACATTCATTCAGTTATATAGGAGGAAGACACAGCCGCATGTTTATGAGTGTACTTGCATCATTACTGTCTTCAGCCGTGAGATTATCAGATCTCACAAGTAGAGTCACACGATACAGGCCAGTGCTGGGGAGCACCACTAGCAGAAGCTCAGCAGAGGCACCAGCGGCTCAGCACATGATGCTGTTCTGAGTCAGCCCAGTTTGAATTACTGCTGGTGTTTGGAGTCAGATACTTAGAGAGCTTTGCTAGTAGGAGAGCCGTGAATTATTTCTTGTGTTAAAATATGTGGATATTCTGGAGAATTAGAAGTCATGTATGTTGATCATATTTCAAACTGGAGACTCTCATTCTACACAAGATTTCTCCTATTGTTTTAATTGGAAGTTGTTCCTCTACTTACTCCATTGTTGAGTTGTATTACTTCAGACTCCATAAGAAACTGCATTTCTATAGTGAGTAGCATTTTTTGTGCATGACTGGGATATAAGCATTGAAATTCCCTCATTTTGCAGTTCTGATATTGAACTATCACACTGAGTTCTAAGGTTACAAATTTGTTTATTGACAAGACAAAGTGATAGATATAGAAAGAGAGTACATTAAGATGTCAATGGCATTTGTTTTTCATTTTCCAGATCAATATTGACTATCAGATGAGGGAAGCAACAGCCAAAAGGGCTCAAGACCCAACTCACACAAGTTTTGATGAAGCCCAGAAAACCGTGTACATCCTCATGGAAAGGGATTCATATCCCAGATTTTTGAAATCCAAAGCCTACCTGAACCTTTTGAACCAGCTGCAAACCAACACTTCAAAATGAAGTGTTTGACGCAGTGAAGAGCCAAGTAGACTCTGTGTCAAATATCTTGTGGAGAGATCCTTCAGGGTGGCTGGATCTCAGCAAGGAGAACCCGCGCCTTGGGAGGAGGGGTATGAGGCAGATGCAAACAGCTCCACAGCCAGGAGGACGCAGGATAAAAGCTGGCAAGGCTGTTACAAGGGTGAAAGCAGCACAGGGAGAAAATCCTCTCCTCCCATACGCCATGGAATCAAGACAGGATATGGATACTATTTATTGTTTGAACTACACTGTGAACGTTGTACCAAGTCTTAGATTCCAAAGAACTGCTGATTATTAGGAAGTGCAAGACTGGCAAGCTGAGCATTGGGAAAAGATTATCAAATTCAGAAGAAAAATAAGGATGACTGACAATTTTATGCATAACAAGAAAGTGTCCAGACAAGACTGATTAATGGCTTTTTTTAATCTGTGAAGTCTTAATATGCGTGACTGCAGCGCCATGATGCTATTGTGCTATGTAAATATATTATAAATTGACATGTCTTAAAATTGATATATTTTAAATTATATGAGAATTACATAAGCTGTACTTTTACTAAGTTTGTATTCAACAGGCAGGTATGTAGCATCTTTTCTGTTTAATTTATTGCAAAATAATAAGCAGCTCTTCAATCAAATCTACTTAAAAATAAAGTTTTGTGGTCATTTTACATCTTATTTTAAGTAATCTTTCCATTGTAGTTACTGAAGTATTGAAATACATGGTTCCCTTCTGTCCCACTATGCCACTACTTCCCATCTCCTTATCCAGATATTAATTTTCCCAACACCACCTTTTCTCTTTTTTTACCCATTTTACACAACCATAATCTTATAGTTATTGCGAGTAGGTGATCCTGACCTACATAGACACATCCCCACAACCCCCAAAAAGAAAACAAAACGGGGGGGGGGGGGGGGGAGGGGGAAGGGCGCTGGAATAAATTTCCTTCCTATTTTTCATACTCTTCTAGCTACCAGCACCTGAGTCAAATCTCAGATATAGAAACCATTTAATCACTGACCCCACAGTTCAATCTGCTTCGATACTGATCATGTGTTGAGCACAGCAGATCACCCACACTTGCTTACATAGAGAGGCAGTAACTGGGGAGACTCACTAGCAGTCACATTCCTTGTGATATTAGTACTACTCAAACTAATCTTGGTAAGATCCAGACTCTAATTTATAATACCAATACTAGCAAAGTTCATTTAATTTCACTGCAAATGTTGCATTAAATTTACTCTGTAAAATATGCAGTGTTATGAGTAGCCTATATCACAGTGGGTAGTGTTAAGAATTAAAGTTGCAATTATGCTTGACCTATGTAACTATGAACACGGGCACTACCAAATCTGAAGTGTTTAAGATCTTGTGACATTAGAGTTCATAATGAAAATAAATCAAAGTGTGCCCTGGTCTTGATGAGTTACCATCATGAGACACAGCTATCACATGGGTGGCAATATAAGATTTTATCTCACCCTTGCAGATTTTCCATTTTCCAAAATAACATGAGCTTAGTCAGGCACACTCCATTATTCCGTACCAAATGGAGAAGTTGTACACCCACAGACGTCACCTTATGGGGAGAGCAGACTGTGTTGATACTGCCACCCTTTGGGGACCTTAGGACCTCCAAGGGAGGACAAAATCTTCAGCGTTACAAGCAAAACTCTGCTGGAAGGAACATAGCTAAGTGGCACTTGCTGCCAACTTCCACCATCACCTACTGTTGTAGCTGGAAGCCTCTGCAAATCACATCTTCCTACTTTCAAGGCCAGTAAATGCAGAAGAAAAGAATCTGGTCTTGCAGTCTTATTTTCTTTTCAGTAAATATGGATACCTGAGGGAACCTCTGATTGCAAAACCTGAATAACTCCTGAAACAATGTAAACCAGTCTCCAGTTGGCTCTCTTACATGAATTAATTTTCCAGGATCAGTAGGAATAAATTTAATTCCAGTGAAGTAGGAACAACAACTATGCCTCCAACACAAGGGGCATCCTCATGTTTGTTCTGACACAATTAACATGGACTAAATGTCACTGTTTGCATACCTTCAACCTCACAGAAGACAGAATCATAGAATCATAGAATCATTGAGGTTGGAAAAGACCTCTAAGATCATCGAGTCCAACCGTCAACCCAACACCA